AAATAACATTTTATTGTTGTTATGAAATTATGCTACTAACGCTCTCATATCTAGAGAGAAACCCATCTATGGCAACCCTTCTTTCCAAACGAACAACCAACAATCCCACATGCCATCTCTCTCTTTCACCCACCTAACCAGCAAACTCATTTAACAAATAAACAAAAAATAAATAAATAAATAAAAAATAGAAGGGCAAATCTTTGTTCTCCCTCTCACGTTCCCTCCAAAACATTTTTTCTTCCATAGATATGTTTCTCTTCTCTCTCTAGATATGAGACGGGTAGCAGCATAATTTCATAACAATAATAGAAGGGTATTTTAAAAATAAAAATATTATATACAGTAACTTTCCATGTTCGACTTTCATAAAATTCCATTAATTTAGAAAACTTGATTTTGATTTCATTCTTTTGTCCTTTGACCCCAAAACTCAATTTTTATGGAATTATACCTTAGAATTTGGAGTTCTCTACAGCTTAAAAACATTTTTATTTTGAAAAATTGCATTTAGATGTATTTGGTAACTATTAAAAATACTTTTATTGGTTACCATATTTGGCTCAGTAGAGCATTTGAATTAAGTTCGAATTTGGAATATTTTAAACTGTCTTTGGAGTAGAGGTTGAATATTATAGGTAGTTCTTTTTCATTAGTTATATTCACTCCTTAATAAAGTTGTTATTATGATATATGGTAACATTCTATTAAATGATATTATTGTTAAATTAGCAATTGAAATGTTTAAAAAAATATTGTTACAAAATAAATTAAAAAATAATTTTATTATAAAAAATATTTATTATAATGTATTACTAAACACCTAATATACTTTTTAGTCACCGCAATTGTTTAACAGCTCTATTGATAAAAGCCTCAATCTTTTCACTAATTGCAATTTTTTAACAGCTTTACTAGCTTTACCGATAAAAACGCTTTTTGTACTCCAACCACAACTCCAAACTAGTAGATCCACCGCCTATCCTCGACTACAAATTTTCTTTTTTCTCTCACTGGACCAGGCCTTCCCTTCTTCTCTCTCGTTTAGAATATACATTGTGACCACCCCTATGATACAGTATGTATATATATAGTACACCATTTTGTAACTGACATAAAATCTAAAAACTGATAGTAAATCTATAACTAAAAATTAATCATGATTCTGATATCAGTTTAGAAGCTATAAGGTCTCAAATTTTAACTATAGTTTACTCTCCATCATGACCAGTAATAAGTCCAACAATTAAAATACACCCACTACTACCACCACCTTAGAGAGTTTATACCCAATCATAAAAAAATATTTATGTCTATATATACTTAAAATTCAGACTTTATTCCATAATGAATTTTAGAAAATCATTAGATCTACCCCGATTTACGCGTTGGATAAGGAAGCTTCTGGAAGAGAAGTCTTATCAGTAATACACTTGGTATTAATTGTGAATCTGTCAAGGATCAATTTGATGATCCTACAGACATGACCCTCATGAAAGATGACTTCCTTTAGAGGATGTAGATCTGGGTAGATCTAATGATACATCAATATTTGATGGGGTCTGGAATAATAATATCTACTCGGAGCAGGGGCTGTATTGAAGTGGATATTCTTATCATAACATAAGTATACTAATTTATAAAATTATTAATAATATGAAATTTACGGGTCTTCGAAGTCCCTTTCTTCACATTCTCCAAATTCTTAAAGACATGGGAAAACCAATATGCCTAAGTTAATTTTGGGTCCCGAATTTTTTATTGCTTTTTAAGCGGAGTTGAATCCTTAGACACCTAGAGTGGATTAGGTATATACTGTTGAGACCTCTGATGCGGGACATATGCTCAATTTGGGCCATATGGTTACCATAGTATGGCCCAATTCCTCTATGTGGTGGTCCTGGTGGTGGGCCTGGCGGTGGGCCTGGCTTTGTCTTCACAAAACATAATTAAATTTGTACAAGTATTTTCAAATACGTAGTATATAAATGTAAAGGAAATAATAATAATAATAATAAAGATATATAAAAACGTTTTGTGTCTTCAACCAACTTCATTTAGTTATTAGTGTGTCTATATATATATATATATATATATATATATATATATATATAGGCAAGCAATTTAATTTCATGCTCAATTTTTTTTTTTTTTTTTTTTAGTGGGGAGTTGAACCATTGATGTTCCACATCATAACATATGGAATAACAAATATTTCATACCCACATGTTTTTTAGAAAATAAAAATAAAAAACCATGTTCTCCAAAAACCTTCATATTTCAAGTCCAAAAACTAGCATTACCGTCACCACCACAACCACCATAATCGTTACCATCGTCACCACCACCGTCGCCACCGCTACTACCGTATTCGTCACCTTTCACCTCCACTACCTTCTACGGTTGTCGTCACCACATTCCACCAATATCCTCAACATTTCTTTTTTAAAAAAAATTATAGAAGAATGTAATTTTGTTAGTTTAATTTATTTCTCACTGAGAGACGTATTAAAAAAAAAAAAAAAAAAAATCAATTTATAATTTATTCCATTCTAGGTTTTAAATCAGTCCTACCTATAATGGAATAATTATACTTATACCCCTGAGGTTTACATTATTAACAACCAGATGAAAGTTAACTCATTTTTTAATGATGACAACCCCTCAAATTTTGCAAAGTTAACAATGACACCCTTACCACCTCTAGCACAAGGTAAATTGACCTTAGTACCCTTTGACTTGTATAACGACCCAAATTCAGGGATCTAAATCGCTAATCGGATCCTTAACCGAACCCGGGGACACTCTAGGGGCAAAATGGTTATTTTACAATATGAGAGGATAATCTGTTCTTAAACTAGTCAAATGAAGTTTAAAACAAACATTCTAGTCATTCCATGAAATTTCGAAAAGGCTCTACGGTCATTGGTCATGATTTCCCAAAAGTGCCCTTACTCGATTTAAGGAAAATTTTAACACTAGTTATCCCACTAAAACAACCATATATCTCAACATGAATGGAATTTGAAGATGAGGTTAGTCTCATTGGAAAGCTAACTAAAAATCCTTGAAAATGGAATCAATAATGACCCTATTACTTGCAGTAGCCTCTTTCTCCATCATCTCCCTTGTTTGATGGCCTATTTTTTGAAAACTAAACTGTGCCCTAAGCCATAATTCTTGGGATATTCTGGGATGGCAAGTGTCAACCTAGGTGGCTTCTTAGGTCGTTCCCTTAGGATTTATTTGCCCTTATCACGGGAAGGCTGATCATTTCTGCGTGAGGCCATATCTATTCATTTATATACACAAAAATATTAGTACCACATTATTAAGTATACATATATCCGAGGACCTTTGATACCACTATGCGATGACACAAATTTTAGGGGGTGATTTAAATAAAATATAAAATAAAGTAATAAACGGATATAAAATAAAACTACATGATAGTAATTTAAAGAAAACCATATCATAATCCCATATTAAAAATGACATCTGAAAACATATAGTCTTAAGCATACAAAAATACTTCTTCCACTTCTATTACGTCAAAATAAAAATAAAAAATTCAAAGCAAGGTCACATCCTTATTGGTTTTATTTAAAAAGCTCTAAACAAGTTCCTTTAATTGAATCTAAAAAATCTGAAAAATTTTAAGGGATGAGCACAACCGCCCAGTAGAAAAACCACTATAAATTCATATATACATTAAAACAGAAACAACATAAGATGAATAAAATATATGTATAATAAAAATAATAATTTAACAATTTTAATGAATAAATTTAGATAACCGTAACCTAAAAATATGATTGTAAATTTTTAATACTAAACTTTATCTTTTCCAAACTGATAAAACAAAATTCAGGAACATTAACATATAAACTCAAGCTGATTCCTGAACATTTCCCACGAATCGCTAACTATGGAGGGAAAAATCCCCCTCCAATGAAGGTCATCCACGTGGCTATAATTGAAGCTTTGTTTTTATTTTATTAATAGGCCGCAAGAATCCAGCCCTATTCAGGCCCGATAAAGACATCAACATCCCAGGGTCACTAATGTTGAACTTCCGGCCCATTGGCTGAGTTGTCTGGACCAAGTTACATTCGGCCCAACTTCAGTTAAAGACGGACCAGTCCTGCTAAACAAAGGATTCAACAAAGAAGGCAAGTTTTGTGCAAGGAAAGTTTTGCATGGAAAGAATTATCAAAAGGAAAGGATTCTAATTGTAAAGAATGTTGTATATGGAATGAATTGGAAGACAAGTAAGGCAAGTCCTACCATAATTCCACCATCTTGTTTCTATAAATAGAGGCCTAGACCTCTAATAAAATAATCGAGCAATATACACTTTTCTCTGAGTATTATAATTACTTGTTTTGAGTGAGTTGTATTTTTCTTTTTATTTCTTTTAATAGAGAAGAATTTTGCATCTACACTTTGGCGCCATCTGTGGGAAACGTATAGAAATATACTCCCACTTTTGTTTCAAATTGTTTCTGTTACTACGATCTAAAATGTCAAACGGAGAATCTGCAACAGCAGCTGATCAACAGATGGAGTTAATGCAAAAGATGCAAGAAGAATTCCTACATCAGTTCGAAACGCTTCGTCAGGCGAACAAAGCCAGCGTAGCCCAGATTGCGTTGTTTCAACAGCAAAACGACACCCTTCAAATGGCGATGGCTCAGTTGAAACCACAGCCGCCACCAGTTAATGTGGTCGCACCTCCCCCAAACCAAAACGCTCTTCCAGTTAACAAGCCTCAGGTCAATGGGGCGCAGCCTAATGAGGCTCGGCCCAACAAAGTTCAACAAGAGCAGAGGACAAGGTCCGAGGCAGTTGCTTCAGACAATCTTCCTCGTCGCACATAGGATGAACAAGCCAAGTCTAGCCGTAAGTTTACGGTATAGTCTAATGGCATTCTAGATGGCGTAGGCATACAGGATGCCTTTGATGAAAAAAGACTCCTTAAGATTCAGACGCTCGCCGAGATGGCCAGAGAGCATAAGAACTCCCTAGTGAAAACTCCATTCACCGATGATATATACCTTGTTGACAGACCTAAGAAATTCACTATGCCTTCCTTCACCCAGTTCAATGGCACGAGAGATCCTTCTCGTCACCTCGATCACTATGCACAAAAGATGGCTCTGGACGATCACGACAATCCGTTCATGTGTAAAATTTTTCCAACTAACCTAACAGGAGCTACATTAGAGTGGTTCGGGAACAGGCCACACAAATCTATCCCGGACTATGAAACTCTTTGCACTATATTCCTAGCACAGTACTGCAGAAACAAGAAGCAAAAAAAGAGTATTACTAGCCTCTTCACCATAAGGCAAAAGAAAAGAAAAACGTTACAGGATTTCTTATCCAGATTTAGTATGGAGGCCTCAAAAATAGCACATTGCCATCCTGCGACTGCAATAGAAATGTTCAAGCTTGCAATAATTCAGGGAACCAAGTTCCATACATCCCTAGTCAAATATTCCCCTCCGGATATGCAGACTCTTAATGCTAGGGCACAGATCTACATCCGACTTGAGGAGAATGTAGCCCAACGAGTGCAGCATGCCACCCTCGTCATAATGGAAAATAAGCCTCGGGAAAAGGTGTCAAATCCAAAAAGTCAGAAAAGCCAGCACGCTTCAGCACCGGTCACTCAGGTAACTGAGAAGGGGCAAAGGACAAAGGAAAAATTCACAACTCTTCGCTCCACCTTGGCTCGGCTATTCCAAGAAAACAAGATGAAATTTACAGCCCCTCAGCCAATGAAGCAACCCTTAGAGCAAAAGGACAAGAACAAACACTGCGCATACCATAGAAATTATGGGCATACAACTAATGATTGCAGATCCCATAGGCGGCAAGTGGAGAATATGATAATCAGGGGTGAACTGGCAGATTACCTTACAACAAAGGAGTACATGAAGCCTAGGGGGGCCAATCCTCGGAGAGTAGAAGGTAATCAGGTAAAGCTCATCCATGCAATACATGGGAGATCAGAGGACGACCAAGAGTCAGAAGAAGTATATAGATCCAGGCTGAGGACTGCCCATAAGCTAAGAAAGTTGTCCTCGGTGAACACTGTCACCTCGAGCAGTATTAGTATTGGGTTCGGCGATACAGATTTATCTAGAGTTCAACTCCCCCACGAGGATCCACTAGTCATCAGCCTTCTGGTGGCAAACTGCATGATCAAAAGAGTTCTAATAGACCCGGGTAGCAGTGCTAATATTATCACAAAGGTGATCTTTGAGCAGTTGGAGATCCCGTCATCATTAATCCGGTCCACCTCCAGTCCCTTGATGGGGTTTGATGGCATGAGGGTAGACCCCCTTGGGGTGATTGATTTATCCGTCACTGCAGCAAAAAGGATGTTGAAGGAGAACTTTATTCTAACAGAGATGCATCCTTCTTATAAGCTCATTATGGGAAGAGGTTGGATCCACCAAATGAATGGGGTACCGTCTACCTTCATCAAGCGATGTGATGCTTGTCTCCGGATGGTAAGGAGGTTATTAATCTTTGGGGAGATCAAGTCGCTGCCAAAGAATGTTATATGTTGACACAGAATGAGGCAAAGAAGATAGTTAAGCAGTCCCAACCAATTGCGACTTCTGGAAGTATGCCCAAATAGCAATTACAGAGCCCTCTGCCCAAGTATTTGAAAGCGAGTGATGAAGCTGAAGCTACAAAGCTTACCGAGAAATCTCTCGAGGCTATTGAAGTAATCCTCGGCGATCCCCAGAAAGTCACCTATATAGGCTCTTCTCCCACCACCGAAGAAAATGAAGCGTTAATTGATGTCATTCGACGGAATGCAAATGCATTTGCTTGGGAACATTCAGACATGGTAGGAATCGATCTTTCAGTCTCGTGCCATAGCCTGAAAGTGGATCCGGTATTCGAGCCAGTCAAACAAAGACACAGAAGGTTTGCTCCTGAGCGCAATCAAATTATTGCTGAAGAAGTAAACAAATTGCTTCAGGTAGGCTTCATCCGAGAAGTGTATTATCCATAATGGCTCTCTAACGTGGTGGTGGTTCAGAAGAAGAATGGAAAATGGAGGGTGTGTATAGATTTTACCAATCTCAACAAAGCTTGCCCTAAAGACAACTTTTCACTACCCAAAATAGATTAGATGGTTGACGCAACTGCTGGTTTCGTGAGACTCACATTTCTCGATGCGTATTCTGGTTATAACCAAATCCCTATGAATCCAGAAGATGAAGAGAAAACTGCCTTCATAACAAAGAAGGGCACCTACTGTTATAGAGTTATGCCCTTCAGACTCAAGAATGTAAGGGCAACTTACCAGCGCCTTGTTAACAAGATCGTCAACGAGATGTTGGGAAAGACGGTCGAGGCCTACATCGATGACATAGTGGTTAAAAGTGTGAAAAATGAGGAATACCCCAAGCACCTTCAAGAAGTCTTTGACACTTTGAGAAAGTATAACATGAAGCTGAACCCTTCGAAGTGCTCTTTTGTGGTTTCTTCAGGGCAGTTCTTCGGCCATATTGTCAACAAAAGGGGAATCGAGGTAAGTCCAGCTCAGGCTCAGGCCCTTATACAAAATCAAGAACCAAAAACTTGCAGGGAAGTACAGGTTCTGACTAGCCAAATCGCAGCTCTTAGCCGCTTCATCTCTTGATTATCAGATAAGTACAAACCGTTCTTTAATGCAATAAGATCCAAAAACAAAGATATATGGGACCTCAACAGCAAGTTGCTCTCAATCAATTGAAGTGCTACATGGCTAAACCTCCAATTTTGTCAACTCCGAAGCCTAGTGAGACTCTTATCATGTATTTATCAATCTCCTGCATAGCCACAAGTGTAGTACTGATCAGAGAAGAAGGGAAGAATTAGTATCCAATCTTCTACACCAGTAAGATAATGACGGATGCAAAAACACGAAACAGCAAAGCAAAGAAGATTATACTATCATTGGTGTATGCTAAAAGAAAGCTTCGACACTGTTTCGAGTCACATAGCATCACAGTTCTTACTAACTATCCCATGTGAGTCATTCTTTCCAAGCCAGACTTGTCCGAAAGAATAACTAAATGGGCAATCAAACTCAATTTCTTCGATATATCTTATGAACCAAAGGTGTCACATAAAGGACAAGCATTGGTTGACTTCCTCCTTGAGTATGAAGATAAGCCCGAAGAGCCAGGCCCCCCTGAACCACAATGGGAGCTTCGGGTAAACGGTTCCTCGAACCTAACTAGTGCCAGGGCCGAAGTCGTTATCACAACCCTTGAAGGCACCAAGCTGCAGTAATCAATCTGTCTAACTTTTCCTGCTACAAACAACGAAGCCGAGTATGAGGCCTTGCTCGCTGGGCTTCAATTAGCAAGCCAGCTCTAAGTGAGGTGTCTAAAGGTTTTCAGTGACTCTCAACTTATTGTGAATTAGGTGACAAGCAATTATCAGCACAAAGAAGACAGAATGAAAGCATACAAGGAGGCTGTGAAGAGTGCTACACGAGGATTCGATCAAATCAAATTCCATCAAGTACCTCATGATGAGAATTCTGAAGCAAATCAGTTGGCTGCCGCAACATCTTCCTCAGACGAAGATTTGGTCTGGATAGTACCAATTAACATCTTGGACGAGCCTAGCATAAGCCCTTGGCAGGAGATAATGGTGATCCTAGATATTCCACGAGAACCATGCTGGAAGATTACCTTAAGTACGGAACTCTTTCGAACCAGAAGGCCGAGGTACGGAAACTTAGGCTCACTGCAGCCAAATATTCTATCATCAATAATCAATTGTATCGGAAGTTATTCTCAGGTGCCTACCTGAAGTGTTTAAGTCTCACTGAGGCCCTCGCAATTCTGAAATAGATTCATGACGGGGATTATGGCAACCATTCCGACGGCAGATCTTTAGCACATAAGGTCCTAACTCAAGGTTATTTCTGACTATACTTGGCTCGGAATGCTGAAAAGTATTCCAAGAGATGCGATAAATGCTAGCGACATGGCCCAATGAAACATCAGCCGGCTAAAGATTTGCACGCAATGGCGAACCCATGGCTATTCGCGCAATGGGGGATTGATATGGTCAGTCTTTTATCTAAAACTGTGGAGCAAAAGGAATACGTGTTAGCCACGAATTACTTCATAAAATGGGTGGAGGCAAAGGCTTATTCGAGTGTGACCCATGAGCAAGTCAAAAGCTTTTTATGGAACAGCATAATCTGCTGATTTGGAGTACCAAAGGTTATCATGATGGATAATGGCCCGAACTTGGACAACAGAAGCACAAGAAAATTCTTCGCCAAGCATGGGATCAAGCAGAAGTTGGCCACAGTTAGCCATCCGCAGGGAAATGGGTAGGCTGAAATAATTATTCGAACTATTTTCAGTTGCCTAAAGAAAAAGTTGGAAAAGCTCAAGTCAAAGTGGTATGAGAATCTACCTCAGGTATTTTAGGCATATCGAACTACCCCACAAAGGCCGACAGGTGAAAGCCCCTTTACCATGGCCTATGGGTCTGAGGCTGTCATCCACACGGAGTCAGCAGTTCCTACTCTTCGGACCCATTTCGTGCTCGAAGGGAACAATGATTAGCAGCTCAAGCATAGCCTCGATCTCTTGGAAGAAAAGAGGGATGCTGCAGCAATTAGACTCGCTTCATTCCAGCAACAGTTGCGTAACAATTACAACAAGCGAGTCAGGTTTAGAAGTTTTGTGGAAGGTGATTGGGTGCTGAAGCAAGAGACAACCCATGTCAAAAAGTTACAACCTAATTGGACTAGACCTTACAAAGTCACAGAAGTGGTAGTGAAAGGAGTCTATCGCTTAGCTGAAGCTAATAGGCGTCCAATCGCGCATCCATGGAATGCAATACACCTCAAAATATACTATCATTAGACAATATAGTCTGCTTGTGTTTCTTTTCCAATTAGACAATATATTTGTTTTTTCTACAAATATGGTTGTTCCTGGCCAATATAATAAATTCTCATATTGTTGAGTACGTCATCTCTCTTTTAAGTGTGTGTCACTTTCCGTAGTCAATAATGTTGGATAGACGTGTGATACGCAGTCCCGTGAACTCCATAATCATTAAAATTCGGTGCGGGATGCTATTCAGTTCACGTTTTTATTTCTTTTCGCAAAAGGGGGCAAGACTAGTACCCTACTATGAATTGATTTTACGACAAGAAAAGTAAAAACAAAAAATAAGAAAAGCAAAAACAAAAAACACAACAAACAAGAAGATACAAACAGGCACAAAATCAACGATTGTTTATGGAAACTATCGAGCATTTGTTTGTATAAACCATCTTCAATATGACACAACAGCTATTCATATCTTTTACATAGCAACTTACTTTTACTGTTGTCCCACATCGATAAAAATACCTCTATACATTCCTTTATATAGGGAAATATTAAAGTATTTGAGTGCATTGCAAAGAGAGCCCACTGGTAACAGGTACGACCCAACCCAAATTATGTTCAAAACCTTGGTACCAGTGGGCATTCTTTGCAATAATTCTTTTTAAAACTCACCTTTCTGGCCCATATTATATTCTTTATCCCACATCGAATAGGAGTACAAGAGATATATAGTTCATATAGAGGTGGCACACCACATCTGGTTGCCACGAAGAGAGTCTCTGTGGAAGGTAGTCTCCCAAACAAATGTATGGGAGACTTCTCAGTCATAATTACTCTTCTTTTTGGCCTCATATCATTTCTAAATCTTCGGCCTATGTTGCATACTTGGTAACTTTTCCAGCTCAGGCTTCAGAACTCAAGAGTCCGGCATAGTACAATTCCTCTCAGGCTCATAGCCGAGGAACACATCGCTTTGGACCTCAAGAGTCCGGCATAATAAAGTTCCTCTCAAGCTCATAGCCAAGGAACACATCACTTCGGACCTCAAGAGTCCGGCATAATAAAGTTCCTCTCAGGCTTATAGCCGAGGAACATGTCGTTTTAGACCTCAAGAGTCCGGTACAGTACAATTCCTCTCAAGCTCAAAGCCAAGGAACACATCACTTCGGACCTCAATAGTCCGGCACAATAAAGTTCCTCTCAGGCTCATAGCCAAGAAACACATCGCTTCGGACCTCAAGAGTCCGGCACAATACAGTTCCTCTCAGGCTAATAACCGAGGAACACACCGTTTCGGACGTCAAGAGTCCGGCGCAATACAATTTCTCTCAGGCTCGTAGCCGAATAATACACTACCTCGGACGATTTAAGTCCGAGGCTACGTCAGTAAGGTTTAAGCCCAATTGGGGGCAAAAGTTCTTTATGGTAATACACCTATAGGCCTTTCTTGCTTAGCCCAATGACATATAACCCATGAAAAATTTTGTCCCACATCGAAAGCGGATAGAAGACATGAGTTCAATATATGGGGTAATCTCATACTCATTGATCGCCAAGAAAGGTGCCCCTTAATAAATAGATCCTCAAGCGAAATTTAGAAATCAACATATCAAGGAACCCTCTTTCTTGAGCCAATTCTTTTCAAAATCCTCGGATCACAATGGCTTGAGTACTGTATTGAAAGATTGGTATTTTAAAAGCCATCAATATGTTCCTTCAAGATAAGGAACTCCGTGTCTTAGACATAAAGAATCTGAGTACAAGGAACTGAGAAAAAACTCATATGAATCAGCAAAAATCTAAGTAAAGGTTGCTATATTTGTTGACATTTTATCCCCAGGATCAATAAGTCTGGCTAAGACAATTACTAAGTCAAGCAAATTACTTGTCTCACATTGAAATAATACAAGGAAAACGAGTATTAATATATCTACTCCATGCGAATCATTGGCAAGAAGGGTTCTCTTGACGGTTAGATTGTTAGGTGGAGAAACCATCCTCGGATATTAATTAAACTGTCAAAGGGATTCCCTTCTTATCATCTTTCCTGTTTTTGCTTCGGACCACAAGGGGTACGAAGCCCTTAGGCAATGAGTCTTCCTCCAAGATAGGAAGACATAACTACTTAGTGATAATGTAAAACTCAGAAGCATTCACA